ACAGCCCTTTAAGAAGAATCTTGTCTGCCATCTGCTGGACACTTTTTGTTGTACTCATATTTAGACATCTATTTTGCAAATGCTGCCTTTTTGAAATTTGGTATGCTTGTTTGTCTTTGTGTCWATGGTGTATAATGATGTGATTGTGATGCTGCTATTCTGAGTGTTTATGTGCTGCAGAACAGGAACCTGCTGTAAAATAGCAATTATGCTGAGTCAGGCTTGATTTTTAATAATCTTTTCCTGTTAAATAAATAAATCAAATCAAACTGTGACATCAAACCAAACCACTTCCATCCACTGCTTCATGGTTCATTTCTGTTGGACCGGAACAGCAGGGACACCCTGACCATCTACAAATTTACAAGTTTTTATGTTAGACTGAGCTCTGAAATGGATGAGAATTTAAATTTACTATTATTTATTTTATCATGTTTTTATTGAAAAGGAATCAGAGGATGCAAGTCCTTCTACATATAAAGTGTTTATTTTAATGTGAAAGAAAAAAATGTGAGAAACACTCACCAACTTCTGCTAGGTCCAAACTTCACAGCATCAACTTCTTCTTTGTAATCCAAACGACTTTTATCCTTTTTCTACTTCTTCCTGTTCTGTTTCTTCTTGTTCCATCTGAAGAGCCAGAGTCCAGTTGGTGTTGGACCAGAGAATTGAAGCAGCTTCAGATTTTCATCTAAACTAAAATCAGGTGTTGGTTAGGAGGAGCTTCAGTTTGTTTGTTGGTGTTCCTCAGCGCTGACCTCCTGCTCTAAATTTAACCTGTTCCCTCAGTCTGAGAGCAGCTCCACTGACTCACCATCAGCTGCCAAGACAGCCTCAGCACAACTCCTCCTCTAACTCCTCCTACACATATGACCGCCCCCTTTCATTTAACTCCACCCTCTGATTATTAAAATGGCAATATCATGTAAAATAAACTTTTTTGAGTTTTATATCATGTTAATGTTATACTCTCATAAAAAACATGCCTAAAGCCTTGCTTTGACTAATTCATTCATGTTTGAGAAATCCTGCAGCATTTTTAGGCAGCCATGCTGAGGAGCAAAACGACAGGTGGGGACCAGAAATGACTTTTGGGCCCAGATACGCCCCTTGGACGTGTCTATAAGCCGAGCTTCTTCATGGCAGGGTGCCCCCCGCTCCCCACACACCCCGCCCATGACTCCTGCAGAAAGTGAAAGTGAAACTTAAACTGTCTGCGGAGCTCCTAACATTAGCTCTCACTCAGTGAAGCTCTTTTCAGATTAAAAATACCTTTGAGGAAATGTATTTTCAGATG